TGAATGACTCATAGACAACACACTGTGTGGACTGAAGTGGTCTGTGTGTCTAAAGGTGCGAGAGCGAGAGCTGTCCATATTAGGGCACATCGTGTCCAAACATGGTGTTCGACCCGACCCTGCAAAACTTCAAGCAGTCGCCGAGTTCCCGAAACCTACTACACTGAAAAAATTACACAGTTTCGTCGGACCATGCTCGTACTTCCGGCGCTGTTAAAAAAGCGCCGGAAGTTCATCCTGGTCTCCTGACTGCGACTTCGCGTTTGCCACGCTCCGTAGCCTGCTAACATCTCCTCCCATTCTTCAGCATTTCGACCCAACACCTGCAACAGAAGTCCACACAGACGCTAGCGGGGTCGGTGTTGGCGCTGTCCTCGCCCAACGCAAGCCGGGCTACCCCGAAGACGTCGTCCCTTATGCGAGTCGCACGCTCCCTAAAACTGAGGCCAATTACAGCGTCACTGAAAAGGAGTGCTTAGCGCTTGTGTGGGCACTTTGCAAGTTCCGCCCTTATTTTTGCAGTCGCCCATTCGACCTGGTAACGGAGCACCATGCACTTTGTTGGCTCGCCACATTGAAAAATCCTTCTGGCCGCCTAGCTCGGTGGGCACTGCAAATCCAGGAGTACGACATTCACGTCATCTATCGCAGCGGACGCAAGCACTCTGACGCCGACGCCCTGTCCCGTTCGCCTTTACCTCCCGACTCCGGCGGCGGAACCGCTGGTACCAACTTTGTCGCATCTCTTGATTTCGACTCCTTTGCCAGCGAACAACACAAGAACCCATGGATCGCTTTCCTTTTTTACTGTCTCTCTGGATCGTTGGCCACTGCGGTACCACGATCTCTCCGACGTCGAGCTGCTCATTTCGCCATTTGTGATCGGCTGCTACACCGACGTAACTACGCCCCTGAAAGTCGTAAGTGGCTCTTGGTTGTCCCCCACAGCTTACAATCACAAATATGCGCCTCCTTTCACGACGATCCCCAATCTGGCCATGCTGGAGTTTTCAAAACTTAGGAATGCATTCGCCATCGCCTCTACTGACGCGGAATGTATAATTTTGTTCGAAAATTCGTTATGGGCTGCCCTGACTGTCAACGCTGAGAATCACCGCCTTTCCACTCGTCCGGTGCGCTTCAACCGCTTCCCTACCCTACCAAACCTTTCGATCGGATCGGAATTGATCTCTATGGCCCTCTACCGACCACATCAGATGAAAATCGGTGGATAATAGTCGCGGTGGACCATTTAACACGCTACGCTGAGACCGCCGCCCTTCCAAGTGCCACTGCGTGGGACATAGCGTCCTTCGTCCTCCTTCGATTTATACTACGACATGGTGCACCTCAAGAACTACTAAGTGACCGAGGTCGAGCCTTCATATCAGAAGTCGTCACGGCTCTGCTTTCTGAATGCCATGTTGTTCATCGCAAGACCACGGCATACCACCCGCAGACTAACGGGCTCACGGAAAGATTTAACCGCACCCTCGGCGATATGCTCGCGATGTATGTGACATCTGATCATACTAACTGGGATCGCATTCTTCCTTTCATCATGTTCGCATACAACGCCACGGCATAGTCTACCACTAGATTTTCACCTTTCTTTCTTCTTGATGGATGCGAACCTTCCGGAACCATCGACACTCTCCTTCCATACCCTCCTGACGCATCCGAATGCCAATCTGTGTCCGAAGCTGCTCAAAAAGCGGAAGAGTGCCGTGAACTCGCACGCACCTTTACGTCACAAGAACAGCAGCGCAAGAAAGGAAACAACGCCGACTCTTCACGAAGCCACAGCTGTTCCCCGGGATCACTTGTATGGCTGGCTGTTCCTAACCAAACCCCCGGCCTTTCCTCAAAACTCGTCCCGAAGTACGAGGGCCCTTACCGCGTTTTGGAGCGAACCTCGCCGGTGAATTTTCTTATTGAGCCACTTTCCCTATCTGACGACATGCGCCGGCGTGCACGTGACATTGTCCACGTCGCCCGTCTTAAGCCATACCATAGCCCTCTGCCTCTAAACTCTTAGGTCCCCAGCATGGCTCTTTTTCGGCGGGGGCAAATTGTGAAGAAGAAAACGCACCGTTGGCAAGCAACATTGCCACCGCTTGGGTACTGGGCTTCTCTCGCTCGCCTCGTGCTGATCATCGCCGACATGTGCTTGACCGTTGCTCTGTCCCGATCGTGTTTTCATCGTAGAGCCACCGTCGCAACACACGCCAATAAGCCCACTTTTAGGGCCTTTTCGCGGGTATGTGAGCAATTTCCCAAGTCATTAATAAGTCAAGGAAACTAGTGTTTCCTGACTGTATGTTGCTCTGGGTGGTGCCTCTTCTGTGAATGCAAATCGAAGCAGGGTTATGACGCGCAATATTCCCGCAACGATGCGTTCGTACGCCCGCGCACTGTGGGAAACAGGGTGAGCCAACGCTTCTGCAAGCAGACGACACTCCGCCGGCGCTTCGGTTTCCCATAATGCTTTGCAGCAGCCATAGGCGGGCGCGCATCAATTTCTGGAAAGGTCCATTGACACGTGGTCGCATGTCGCTTACGCAGTCACCCGCGTCAAGTGTGAATGCGTCCAGTCCGCAAAGTCTCATCTTTTCTTCGAACCGGTCGCGGTCTTTTCGGCACAGCGTTGAAGTGTAGTATTTTGGTGACGCTCACATTGTGCACAACACTCCTTGCAGTCAAATTTGCATTGCTCTCGCACTTGGTCACGACCGCACTACTGCGGTCCCCGGCTGCCTCTGACAAAAAAATTATGGCTGCCTACCCAGAGTGCATAGCGTTGCTGCCATCAGTAAAAGCTTCCTACAACTATGGTTTCAAATTTGGAATGCCTCATTTGTTATCAACATCCATGGGGAGACAGCCACAGGGTCACTGCCCTTATGAGAAGAGGCTCTGAGCTTAATTGAATACTTAAACTTAAGATGGCTAGCTAATAATATATAATTCTTGGAGTTTAACATCCTAGTATCAAGACAAGATTATTAGGGATGCTGCGGTGGAGGGTACTGTAAAGTTTAACTACCTGTGGTTCTTTGATATGCACCTAATTATAAGCATATCAATGGAGGCAAAATCTAGCTGGGATTTGATCCCAAGACCTTTGGGTCGACACTTGAGCATCATGACCACGAGATGATAAGCTGATATAGTTTGTTGGCGCTCACGAGTAGGACAATGGACAGAAGAAAACACGAGCACAGGCGCCGAGTCTCAACTGTTGTTTATTTTGAGCAAGAATGGGAGAAAGAAGGAAAACCAGGCCATAATCGCTAACATGTCGAGCTGCAAGACTAGTACACTCTTCACTAACAAAAAAACGGCACTGATACCGCTGATGATGGTACTATTTGATAAGGCTCGTGACACCTTGAAGTTCCCATGAATGTTGTACTAGCCCCAGCTAGACCCACAGCCAACACTTTGGAGTTCATTTGTGGTACATTTACCCCATCTGTGTGACATTCTAACAATCTGTCTGTCTCATTTGTTTTTTTTTTGTGCCCATTATATCCTAAATTATCTACCACTTACTAATGCTCACTAGCAAACCCACTGTTAACTAGAGATAGATTCAAAAACAAAAAGTCAGTAGCAAGATGTCCGTGAAGTTCTCACTCCGCCATGCTGCAATACTGATTTGGAGCGCCTATTCAAGCCTAGCGACGTATCGAATGGTAAACAAAATTGGAGGTGACCTTACTAATTGTTGACCAAGGCATCAGTAGTGGCACTCGCATTTGTGTGTCCTGGTGTATGTATTCCTTGGGTTAGCTTTGTGCTTTGTTGCGCTGTCGAAGAGCAGATCTAAAGGCCACATAGAAAGAAGCGCATGGTTGAGATCTGTTTCACGATGGCTACATTGATTCGCAATGAAAGAAGCGCGTGGCTGAAATCTGTTCCACAATGGCCACAATGATCCTAGCTGTGCGGAAAACTGTCAGCTCTTCCAAACGACTCATTTTGTGAAATTATTTATTAGTTATTTTGACAATTAATTAGCCCTCATCGTAAGTAGGCTTATGTTTCAATATCCCGAAGTCGGCAAGCTCACTCATGAGATTCAGCCGCGAGTCTGGGCCCCGAGTTTAGTTGAGAAAAACCTTAGTGAGCTCAAGCACAAAATATATTTTTCAAGTGAGCTGCCCATTTTTTTGCTGACCTATGTTAATATATGTATCCAACATGACTCTAAAACTAGAACCATTAATTCCAGCTAGTTTTTATTTTTAGAAGAATTATCCAAATATTCAGAAAAGTGAAACTGCTGGGAAGAGAAACCAGTGTCACTAAGTGCTTTTATTACTAAAAAGGATTCTCTGGCATTCTACAGAAGCACAGTACAGTCTGGCATGTTTCAGTGCATAACTCTTATTTCTCCAGAACAAAAAACGCTGAAAAGGTTTACAAGGTTTCAAGCCCCATGCTGCTGCCTCGCCGCAGTGGTCTAGTGGCTAAGGTACTCGGCTGCTGACCCGCAGGGCGCGGGTTCGAATCCCGGCTGTGGCGGCTGCATTTCCGATGGAGGCGGAAATGTTGTAGGCCTGTGTGCTCAGATTTGGGTGCACGTTAAAGAACCCCAGGTGGTCTAAATTTCTGGAGCCCTCCACTACGGCGTCTCTCATAATCATATAGTGGTTTTGGCACGTTAAACCCCACATATCAATCAAGCCCCATGCTGCTACATATGGTGTGCTCGAAAACATTTGTCGACAATGCCAGTTGAATGCCTATATGTTATGAGAGCCACATTTTATGCTGATGTGTGATTTTCTGAAGAGACAAGTGAATTTCCATACATACCCGAAATGAAGGATAATGCGACAGGCTAGGAAGCATTGCACTTATCGTCAGGATTTTCCGGCTTGAGATGGCCTGCTGTGTGATGCTGTGCTAGCCACTTCAGCCACATTTATATGCTGGCAAGGCGTCTCCGTCAACATCCTTAAGTTAAGCTATTCATGCAGGCAAGCACAAGTCTTAAGCCCACTATGCTTTATTTTTTTCATTAGTTCCAATTCTGAACAGCACAACAAGTACACATAGTAACAGTCACACCCACAAATGTAACAATCGTCGCCCCCGAACACTTGGCACTGTCATGGCACCTTGAGTTGAACATGAACACATTTTAGAGATACAGTACAAAATAAATACAACTAGATTACATAAATGCAAACGATTCATGAAAAGAATGAATACTGTAGATGCTGGTTTATTAAATATAGTCACAAGATTATGGGTAGCATAAGAAACAGTTACATATGCTATAGATATCGAGCAACCTCCATGAGAAGGTTCTTATTTAGAATACAAGTGGATGCAGAAAGTGCGCATGAACGTTAAAATGGGGAAAAAGAACTGCTGACTGAAAATAAGGCACATCATAGGAGATAACAATTAAGAACAGCCATTACCCTTTGCATTGGCATTGCACTGAAGACCTCTGTGGAAACTTCAGCAACCATGCTGTGTCCTTTTGTTGGTGCCTTCAACCTACGTACTGTGAAGAAAAGTAGTAGGCTTCATCTAACAGCTGACAATAGCAGGAGCGCGAGTGATTTTCCAAGGTGCCATTTAAAGACTATTAAAAAAATTGAATGGCTACTAGTCCTGTGTCTATACCACGACCAGTCCAACAGTACAGTCAAACTTAAGTACTATATCGAATGTGAGGTGAATACGAAAAACAGGTGGACATATTGGTAATTCGATATGTAAAAGGCTTCGAGTAGTACGCTTCACTGCGTAAAAGGGAACTTCTCACTTCACCACACTACACTTCAATGTTGCAGTGAAGCTAACTAAAGCACAGCTGTCGTGGTGTGCTAAAACTCTTGTGAAATTGTAAAACACACACAAGCCACAGCTGAAAGTGGTTATCTGCAGCCTGCCCATGGCAGCGTTTTAAAACGAAAATAGTGCTCCATGACAAACGCCACATTTACCTTCTTTTAACATGCACTTCAAGAAACGGACTCCATAATTGCCTGCGCATTACGTATGATACGAAACCAAACACCGTGTTCGCAGCACCAATCATGTAATTTGAGTGTTTAAAGATGTCATAAAAAAGTGCCAATAAAATTTCTTTAGCTCAACCACAACGTACAACTCTCATTGTGTAAACAAACATATTAGAAGTCGTTTTACATGCAAAGCCAGCATCGACATGGCCGTCATGTTTTCAGTGTGCCAGAGGTTTGCAAAAGTAGCACAGGAGGCATTCGTTTAGATTATAAATGCAAATAGAGATTCAAAAGTGGGAGGTAGGCACATTTACTTTTGAAAAGGGCGAATAACCTTTATGTACCCTCTACGAATATGCGGGTGACGTGGAAACAGTGTTTTTGCAAGGCCACTGTCTTCATTAGCTTTGATAGCCATGTACTTCAAGACGAGCAGTCTACTAAATTCAGTAATACACGTGGAAGACAACATGCTGTGGTAGGTAGCTGTGAAAAGCTGCCTGGGAAGGTTACCTTGGCGAATCACAAGTTCTTCTTGTTAAGATTAGAAGTGCCTAATGTCTTTTTGCTCATTAGCCCATGCATGTATATACGGGCTCCTTTTATGTATTTTGCGTGAATGTAGGGTTAAAGAAACTTGTACGCGTGCACGAAGTGCTAGTCATGATGCCATTACAGGCTGGCAGAAGAGCTAGTCTAGCGAGGCCTGCTGACTGACTAGGGCCTGGTTGGAGGAAGCATATTGCATTTTTTGTTATGCTCCAAGTGCATTATGTTTTGGTTCACGTTGCTAGATGCTTCATACACACAAAAACTGCATATGTGGTATACCTGGAGCCGCTATCGAATTGTGTGAATACATTTTTTTTTATCATATGAAAAAGCTGAATGATTTTTTAATTTTCCTGCTCTTTTTTAAACGTGCATAGCAGTCCTCAATTTCTGGCTCGTCGAAATTGAATGAACCACAGTCTGCCGTAGTATGAAGGCATGGCAAAAAAAAAAACACAAAATGGTATTAAAACGCTGACCCTCAATTCTGATGCAGCAGAATACCTGACGTTTGCTATTTACCGATATGATAATTATGTACACTAATAACAAAACTGGAAATGCAAGAAAAAACAAACGCAAGATGACTGATTTGCCTGTTACTGCCAACAGAAAAAAGTGTTGTTGAAGATGTACCTGTAGATATAGCACAAATGAAATCAATGTCCTGTATATATGTCTCCATGTTCAACAATACTGCCATAGATAAGTTTACTGAAGATGTTAATTCCGATTGAAACAGCAGTGCCTTTTCTCTCTCACTTCAGTTTTTGACCGTTTTTCTTGCTGAGATCCACATACCCCAGTGATGCTAATAGAAAATGGCCAACTAATGGGCAGTCTTTGGTGTACAACGTTTTGTTAAAATACACACATCCATCTCGTGCAAGTTATAAGTGGAGTCCACAGACTGCAGCTGTGTATCACAAAGAAACTAACAATGTTAACAGATTAAAAAAAAAAGCTTTCCCCATGTCAATATAAAGTGAGAAAACATCTTTGCAAAAATCAGAGCTGACAGTGTAAATTCTACACCGACATTTCCATCTTGATAGGTGGGTGGGGGTTGTAATCGCAGAGTTCAAAATCGGAAGACTTGAAGTCAAAGATGTCATTCACGTCACGCTTGATTACAAGTTTCGGAAAAGGTCGTGGTTCCCGTTCGAGCTGAAAATTTCAGAAGAAAATTAGTAACTATTGCATTGCAGATACAGTAGATTGTCAGTAAACGAAAATTTGTTAAATTGAATTGCTTAGGCCAGCGCAAATATTTGAACAAATATTAAGGTATTCTAATTCACTTCTATTCGAATTTAGGTCTAAAACATCGAAGTATTTGAAACGAACAAGTAAAACCTGTATGCAACCTCCTGTAAAAGTAGTTTCACTGCAGTAAAGGGATGCTAAGCGGTGAAAACACCTACTCGAAGAAAATCCGCACTGCCGCAAAGCCCCATTCAAAACTGATCACATAGCGCAAAGTATGTAACAAGGGCCAGAGAAGGGGTTCTTCCTCCCTTTCCTTGTCCAGAGTTATAATTTTTTTGTGCTACATGATCAGTCAAGTATTACCAACGCGCCCAACTTCACACTCTTGTCCCCACTTTAAGGTTAAGTGAACATATTCATCATTTTGTAAATTTTAACGTGTGTTATACCGGCTTGCATGCTGTAAGTATAGTATATATTTCAAAACAAAACATGTTCCACAGCTTACCAAATCCTGATACTATTCAAAGTTGTTTCCACTTATGAACCAAAAAGAGCAGCATTTGCCCAGGCCTTCTTTCAATTTAAAATTTTCATTATGATACTCAATACACACCATGCGAATTCGATTCGAAATTATTGGACCAAAATCACAACTCGCTTCCAACCTATAATTCACCATTAGCACAAGCCTAGAATCGCTGCTTAAGTGAAACAGCTGTTTCTGATATTATTGGTTTATCCTTGCATTCTGCAGCCCCGTTCATCTCTCAGTAAATGAAACTTCTTTTAAATAGAATATTTTTCTGGTCTGTACAAGTTCCATTTATGAGGGCCTACAGTGGTATGGCTAAATTAACACACTATGCAAAGATATCTAGGAATATTTTTAATACACTACTATGCATACCAGCTGAATCAAGTGACAAGGAAGGAGGGCTGCCGATTCCAGTGGCATTCAAACACTAATGCTGACAAGAACATGAGAGACTGCCCTGGCCTTACCTGTTTCTTTAGAGCATCGACGTGGTTGAGATAGATGTGTGTGTCACCGAACGTGTGCACAAACTCGCTAGCCCGCTTGCCAGTAACCTTGGCCATCATGTGCGTCAACAGGGCATAGCTGGCTATGTTGAATGGCACGCCCAAGCCCTGACAAAGAGAGACCATGGAAAATGTCACTAGCTGCAGCACACTAAGTCATTCAATGTTTGACAAATGGACTACAATACTGCGTCGAAATTTTTTCATTTTGGCAGCGTTACATAGCTCTGTCATTACACGTGGTCGCAACAATTGGGCGAACGTCAATAGTCGTCTGAAACTCCAACTGAGAAAACTGCCCAAAAGTTTCGATGTTGTCGCGTGCTAAGAAGGTGGTGTGCCCAAAAGCCACCAGTGACATAGAATAGGTAAACTGCCTCTCTCCATGAGCCACACTGAGCATTCAGCCATTCTTTTAAAGAAAGAAAGAAAAGAACAAATATTACATCCTTGATGATTTTGCATGCAAAAGCTACTATATGATTATAGGGCACAAAATGGTGGTGGGACTTCACTCCAGATTAATTTATTTGCCTTGAATTCTTGCATGTGAATTTAAGTACAAAAGCACTTTTGTCCCCATTGAAACCTAGCCATTGCAGCCTTGTGCTTAGCAGTTCAGCGCCAAAGCTGGTAAGCCATTACAGCAGATATTTTAAAAAATAATCAAATGAAATTGGTAGTTCCTGCACCATTTAAAGGGACACTAAACTCAACTATCAAGTCGAAGTTGATTGTTGAAATGGCAGTCCTGAAAACTCGTAGTGTTACTTTTGTGCCAAGGAAGGGCCTATTTTGAAATAAAATCACGTCATAGTGCTCCGCATCCGGTTGGCGCACTTCAAATTACCCGCCTCAAGAAGCGGACCAACTCGCGTCACTGTTGCCATTCACAACGTTGCCCGGCTTTACTGCGCTAGTAGCAGCAGACTGAAAGCAGCGAGAGCCACAGCAGCAACAACGGCCATTGATCAATTTCCCGCCATTGGCTTCGAAACTGCATACGCTTTTGTTTCAACTGCACCACGCTAGATGGTACCACCTGTCCCGTGTAACCACGCAAAAATTGAATTTTTGAACTACTTGCGCCATTCCCCATAGTAACGTCCGGCGTTTTTTTTTTTTTTTTCATGAATCAAACAGAAATGAACAAGCAGCATTTAATTGCGCCTCTTGATGCACGGAAGGTTCTTTATTTAGTGCAGTTAGATCGATTACTAGTGATTGATTGCAGGCGGTCCATCTGATGTTATCGAGATTATTTTTAAAATGTCCTACTGCGTCGCTTGTGTTCTTGTGCATTTACATTAATTTCTCAGTAAGTAGGGCACTGTTGTTGATAATATTGTCGTTTTAGATGTTGTCATACATTGAGATTTCACTCTGATGTAAATTGTTATTTGACTTTAGTGTCTCTTTAAGAACCAATTAAGTGCAATGCCATCTCCTGAGGGCTGAAACAATAACTAGAAGATTTAAAGCAGCAATGCTATTGTGTTGTGATAGGCAAGAGGTAATGTGAAGCAAAAATGTAACCCACTCACAGTTTCAATGCCACAACTTTTGCAACAAACTATACCGGGGGCAACTTTCTGTGAGAATGAAGGAAAAGCTACTGGGGCACATGTGCTCACTCCTTTGCCAAGTAGTAAAGATAAACTTGCTTTTCGAATGATGGCCGTGTTCAAATAATACCACAGCATAAAACTTGCTACACTGCCTACACAACCATTTGAGAGTGAAATTCGATACAAGCTCCTTCGGCGAGTCGTCGGAATAGCTCAAGGGCGATGCGCGCTCACCTAAAGGCGAAGACGCCATTTGACTATGAGATGCACCAAAAAGGTGTGACGTTTTCAGACATGCAAAACACGAAATTACACTTCGTAAAGTAAAAAAAATACTTTTGTATCTCCTTGGTTCATTTAGCGTCTCTTCATAAACAGCATCTTGTAGAAAAACACAATATTTTTATGCGACGAGCTGGCCGACCAGCTTTGGGCCGTCCGGCAAGCTGAAGATGCCGCCCGGTTCCGAGGACTTCGAGCGGTCACCTGAGGCACGACCATCATAATCGATGGAGAGTGTGAAGGGACCGGGGTTAATCCCCTCTTCTCCCACCTCGCCCGGTGAAAACTGCCAGGCTTTAAATAAAGTTTACTCATTCATTCATAATTTTCACGTGAAAAACATAGACGCATTTGTTGGACTATACTCTTCAACTGTGGCACATGCCCACTTCAGTTCCGTAGCGTTCCCTTCATTGCCACAGAAAGTTGTCCACAGGTAGAGTAGCATCATTATTTTTTATTACAATAGGAATTGTATTTAAAAGTAGAAATGGGACATTTTATGCTGGGCTATACGAGCCAAGAGCACAAGACACAAGAAGGATGAAAAATGCAGGGCTGAAAATTCGTTTTCCACTTTTGGTTAATCTGGGATATGACTTGGACAGTGGCTGGCAGTAGATGCAACAGCATTTTCTGTAGCACTCTTTCAAGACATTTATTCATACATCTCCTCCCCCTCACACACACGCTCATGTGCGACCAAAGATCTTGTCGATGATGACCTGGGCCACAAAATAATTTAACACAAGCTAAAGCTTATTTCGAGCATTTAAAATAACCCTGAAATGGTGTTTTGAAGTTTTGTCAGCGTTTAGGCTAGAGCATCATCAAACCATTCCCACCAAAAATTTACTGACACACCGGGTACCAAGGCCGCTAGAGACAACTATATGGTACCCTCCTTCTCACCTCTGCTTGGCCTCCGCAACTCATGAAGCAAGCTGGCATCCCTGATGATTTCAGAGAGCTCTCATGAGCGGCTCGACATTTTGAGCTTTTACCAGTCTAGACCTCTGAGAGTGCACGCCGACAGGTTGTGCGCCGTCTCGGAGGCCATCACATAGTGCGCCCGGCAGCACACACTGGCAACGGAGACGAAGATCGGGGAGGGGTTCTTATCTTCTCCAACAGGTGCTGCTACCCTACCGGCGATCCTACTTTCGCGAATTCTACAGCCCATGACAGCCAATCACATCAGCAGCCAATATGACGTGGCTGCTGATGAGCTCTGGCCTAGTCAAGCGCCCAGAACATGTGGCTCTATGAATGGGTGGTTGAAAACGCGTTTGGCCAAGTCACAAGGATATGCAGTATTGTAACAAATAACACAGTTTACGCAGAGAGCTCAAGTCGCTCTCCAAACACCCCTTGGGACTTGTTCTACTAGCCCAATATGTTTGTACAAAACCACCAAAACCATTTTAGGGTCCCTTTAAATCACAGTAAAAAAATTGCATAAGAACAGCACACATACCACATCGGCTGAACGCTGGTAGAGTTGACAAGAGAGCTCATCGTCACTGACATAGAACTGCGCTAGGCAATGGCAAGGAGGCAGTGCCATTTTGCTCAAATCTGTCAAAAAAAGACGTTAGTGTTATATGGCATTCCAAAGAAGCTGAGAGGCTGTAAGTTAGTCTCATGCTCTCTGAGTGCATTTCAATTTCCAAAGCATGAAGTTCTTTCACTGACAAGGCGTGATTGGTCTACATTTACAATTTCCATTGAAGTGAAATGTAGGCTAATGCCATCTGATTGCTTTGCAGAAAGAATCTTGCCTGCTGGGTTCCACGAACAAAGAATCATCCTGCGGTCATCCGGATTATTTTTGATGGTGTTGATGAGATTTGAAATCTGGTCTACACCTTCTGTTCCATAGTCAGTTCTCATGTCTCTGTATGGAGCACCAAAATGCCTCCACTGAAATCCATATACTGGGCCAAGGTCACCTATGACGTGATAAATGACACTATAATTCATGTCAATTGTATACATATATAACACGAAACAAGATCACATTGTTTCTTACAAAATGGTGTGCTTACTTATCTGAATTAAAGTTCAATTAAAAATATGAAGGATATTAAAGTATTCTTAAGACCGAGTGAGGCAAACTCTTATAAGCTGTGTTTAATATCAAATTATGTCAAGTTACACCAACCTATGTTACTCTCAGACTACTACTACTACTACCACTGTGCCTTTTCCCTGGAAAACATTTGATGGTCACATTATATTGAGCTCGGATGGTGGCGCTATTTCTGATTTTACCATGTGATTTCAGGTGAATATATAAATAATCAAACTGGAGGTGGGCCGCCAAGCTGAGCTTGGCAGTTCCTACGTGAGGCTAGCTGGGTGGCGCAAGGTCTCCCCTGCGTCTTCGCTGGACCCAAATAAAGTTTTCATCATCACCATCATCATAGCCATGTTCGAGTAATCATTTTTCTAAACATAAAAAAATGTATTGACTGACCTAATTAGATGTTTCTTTTAACACGACAGCATTAAAGAGCTTGTTCCGTAAAAACTCTGGTGTTGGATTGAGCATTGTTGTTTGTGACGAAAAAATCATCATCTTGTCTGTGACCAAAACAATCGAGAAGGATCCAATTAAAAATAATATAAATTTGAGCGTCCAGGGAGGATCGAACCCAGGCCAGTTGTGTGGTAAGCAGGTGTCCCACCACAAAGCCATGAAATTTGTTTCAACTGGTTCGAAAAAAAAAAAATAATAATAAAGTGTAGGGAGTCTTCTTAATGCATCATATACTGCATCGCAGAAACGTAGAATTGCACCAAGTGTCAAAAGATGTAAATTGAGCAACCAGTGGGTGCTTTAAAGGCCCACCCATTAAAAAGCGCAGAGACATACTTAATCATCAGCAGCAGCATAACCATCAACAACAATGTGAACAGGTTCGCGTGGAGTAGTTTCCTCGACCACTCCATGCCAGAATACTCAATTGGTGGTGAGCAGCGGCATTGTGCCTTGGGAAGAGGAGTTTTTCTACCGAGAACACAGTTGTAGAATTCCTGTAGTTTGTTGAAAGTCTTATTTTACTTGTGCATCAGTACGGACGCATAGTGCACGCTTCGCTGATTTGCAAAAAAAAAAAATTACTATGGTGTAGTGGGCACTGAACAACTGCGCTTGCAATAGACATTCAATGATATTTTCAAACGGCCAATGTTACGAGCACAGTCGTTCATTTCCTACCGGCACTGTAGAGGCGTGCACCGAGAACCAAAGCAGGTTAGCAGTTCAGATGGCGATGAGCACACATATAAACTGTAGCCTTAGCTGTTACAGCTGCCTTTTCAGACAAATGTTATATGCGAGGATGTTTTCGCCAAACAAGCACACAACATATTTTCACAATGTGCCATAATAAAGAAAAAAATTGAGGTGATAGTTGTCTCATAACATTGATCTGTGTTGAAACAAAGCAAATTGAAACAAATATTTGACAGGGGCATTATTTCTCTACTAGAAATAAATGTAATGTGTACTGTTGTGTGAAACGTAGTGCACGAAGCAGATGCAGCTTTGCGCTAGCGAAGCCCACGTGCACAAAGCGAAACGAAAATGTTTCACGTGCATCAACATGTTTGCTTTCAAGAGGGGAACCCTTGAGCCTGCTCTGTTCACACCACTGACACATACATAAAACATGGAAGAAAGCGAAGTTGTAAAGACTGTCGTGCTTCTGTACAAGAGATTTTAAGTGTAAATAATACAGGAAAATAAACTTAATTCAATATTTTTATTTAATCTTTGGGGGTAAATAGCCACTTAGTATCACTATCACCATCTCCTTATGCTCTTATTTGATGCCTTACAATTTCATCCTATTAAAAAATTTTTGTTTTTAGATAATACCTCTTGCTAATTTACTAAAATCATTCACTTATATTACCATAACTATCACACCATGCATTAATTTTTCATCTATAAAGTGCAATTATTTGTTCAAATGAAAATCACTCTTGATTACTAATTAAAAATATTTATTACAGCTTTTACTTGCATGTCATTCCCAAACCTTATCAACACAATACACTTACTACACATATACCTCTGTAATAGTTGCAAGTGGCAATTCACAGTGGAGACAATTATGATTTTAATGCTTTAGATTGCGAATGTTGGTGAACATACCTTCCTCTCGCTGAGTGAAGCCGAGGCTGTCCAAGAACTGCCTAGACCCGTTGCCATCCCAAATGTGCACCCCATTCCTCGCAAGTTCGTTGGCATCTGTGGACCCTCTTAGAAACCAGAGCAACTCCTCGACCACTCCACGCCAGAATACTCGTTTGGTGGTGAGCAGCGGCATTGTGCCTTGGGAAAAGGAGTATTTCTACTGAGAACACAGTTGTAGAATTGCTGCAGTTTGTTGAAAGTCTTATTTTATTTGCGCATCACTTATGTGCCTCATTTTACTTCAATGCTCTGGAGGTTGTAAAGTATAAAAAGGGTTTGTGGTTGACCTAATATCAGCGGCTGACCTCTTTCAAAAGCAATAGACCAATGATGACAAGGTGCTTCAGGTACACCTACATAAATGTTGGCCAGATTGTCTGAGGCTTTCGGTCATGTTTATACAACTTTTATAGTGTATTGTGCTTGCATCTATAGGAACCCACCTTTATATTTATTTGATTTACGCAATCTGCATAGTAGTTCATTATAAATGGAGCAATTTTTTACTGGGCTTCATGAATATGCGCTAACTGCAGCTTCAAGATGTACATACTTTGTCTATAGACACAGATCACAGCTGCTCCAACCTTTCGCGCTTGTAAGGCAACTAATGGAGCAATAGATAGCCATTAGCATTACTCTATTCAATTTGCTTAAGTGATCATATGATAGATATCAAGCCGCTTCCTTTTTCAATCATCCATTCAAAACGATAAATGTAAAAGCTGGATTTCATGCCATGTTTAACAGCCTACGCCGTTATTGCTTCCTTGTTTATACTGAGCAAGCAGTGAACACATCCAAGCATATAAAATGTACACACACAAAGGCACATACAGCCTATTTGCTTTGCTGTTCGACTCGCAAAATAGAACTGTACAAAATGGAGTCACTATATAGCTTGTTTAGCACGAAAGCAGCCGTTGCTTATACCCAAAGCATGCTTCCACCCTTGGCTGAATGAAAGCAGCTTTCATGTGTACACCAGGTTTAAAACCAGCACTGGCTTACCCAGTTTGAAATCGTATTTCAACAGATTCCCAGGCAGCCAGCCTCAAGCGCTAATGGCAATAGCTCTATTGTTGTTTTTACTGTAATAAAGGTCATTGTTACTGCTTGTCATGACAAAATATATTTGCCATTTGTATTTTCTCTTTATTGTTGGCACTTCATCCTCACACATAACTATCGCGGCAGGTGAACGCTTCTGCACATTGTTTTCATTTATAAACTTATCTTGCAACATCTAAAGCATTGTCAAGGCTCCACTGGAATTGGTGAAAGGTGAAGACACTTCAAGTATGCCAGTATGACCATGTTAGATGCTATAATAAAAGCTTTGTCCGAAATATGGTTGTCACTTTGTATAAGGACATTATGCTAATAAAAAACAAAACATTAGATAGAGCCTGGTAGGCAGAGAAAAAAAAAAGCTATCCAACTTGAAATAAATGTGGAATTACAGTGCATGAAGAATAAATGCCTTTTCTTTGCAGATCATTTCCACAGTGATCCATTAGTAACACAGCAATGAAAGCAGCAGTTTCCTGAATGCGTCTTAGAAGCTTTCATACTGAAGAGGTGTGGATCAGATTGTATTTCAGGATGAAGGTAAAGAAAGCTTGTCAACACTAAACACATTCCTGCAAATTAAAAATGATTACTATATCTGAGCTGCAAAGTATTATAAATAGTTGAAAAAGCAGCAAGAAACAAATACCAAAAGCAAGAGCTGCAAAAATGAAATTTTCTTCAATTTGAACATCCAGGGAGTGCCCAAATATTTGAGGTTGTTTCAACTACAGGGCACACATAGAATTGTGCACAATTGGTTGGGTGTGATTAGTATTACTAAGACATCTTGATATTTCTTTTTTTGTCTGCTTTTTAAGGGCATATATCTTATGCATTCAATTAGTATAGTAAAAAAAAAGGTAGGCCAATTTAATGCTCAGTCAAGTGAAACGAACAGCACACCATGCCTGTGTGCACTGTCAAAGCATCTTGTGGCTGTCAAGAAGGAGGCACCTTTTAAAGGCTGATTGAAATGATGTTTTGATGTCGGCATCTTCACAAAGGCTGAGACAAAGCTAACATTTACATTCTGCACATACAGACAGTGAAAGCATTTATCCTTAATCAACCTCTCAAGTCTCATTGCACGACAAGATTACAACACATCTGAGATGTACCTGTAACAAAAAATAATCGCTCTATGCTACAAATGCAGGTGTGTCCTAATGCTCAAAAAGTGCTGTAAGCAGTAAAGGACAATAAATCATATTGACATTGCAAGTAAAAAAATCACTTCGTGGTAGACGTCTGGCATGCAAGCAGAATTTGCCAAGAATTTCCAAGGACGTACCATCTGCGAGAGAATATCTGCACTGTCTGCCAAACACCGACAACGTCCCTGTACCAGTCCTGTCGTTTTTTCGCTTTCCATTTTTCAAGACATCCCTTAAGAGGTTGAGATACTGGTATTCATCATGGCTGTAAAATGTTGAACCGCATTAACACAGTTATGCCATTCATGCAAGCGAGATAATGGTAACCAAAGTGTGAGTCAGTTTTGACATGCATTGATCCTTCTCTATTCGAACTCAATATGCGTTATAAAGTTATCGGCGCTCTGTGGAGATGAAGTGGGGTCTTTCATTTCTTTTTTTTTTTTTTGAGTTTCCTGTAAGGAGGTCGTTTTATTTTATTTATGCACGCGCACACACAAATACAAGCTGCACATGTTGATTGCCCACACAATTCTTTTTAAGCAGTTATAAACTTGGGCACTGTGTTACGCAGATATAAACATCGTTAGTTGCACCACATTACGGGCACCCATAAATGCATGCTTACTTGTCGATCCCACGTGCACGGATTTTTCGACACTCTGTATCTAGAGTGGGCACTCCTAAAGCCCCCTTGACATCTGCGGGTGTCCACAATAATCACTCTTCTCGTTTTTCTTTTATTTGTTTGTTTACGTCCATATAAACCGAAGCTATAAATTGTAAACGCGCAGTTTCACTAGTACCATAACGCAGGAAAGCAGTTCATCAATAATCCCTACCAAGAGCGAACACACGTACCGCGCGAGAAAGTTGCCGCGCGTTTTCGCTGTTTCGGCGAGCCGTGTTTGTTTATTGGAGTACATAATCAAGATATCATCCAGTCCGAGGGTTCTCCGCGTAAGCACGAACAACGCTCTACGCGCACCGCATTTGCAAGAAGGCTGAAAACAATGGAGCAAAAGATGAGGAGAAAAACGCTCCCCCGTCGAGAGCGATAGTGACGATCGAGGTGCGAGCGAAACATACGTCTGTTCCTTGACGTCGGCACTGTTGGTCTCCGCGGCAATCGCGTCTCCATTCATGATACTGAGAGATAATCGAGCCCAGACTTCGCTCTGTTACGCTTCCCGCGTTTTTTGGAGTACATGCGCTCACGCAAACGGCTTCGGCTTGATCGCAGTCGGCTGTGTATCGTTCAGCAGCTGTGATCTTAAAGGAAAAAAATAAAGCATGCAAAAGAGTTAATCTGGCACCTCAGATGTGTTCAAAAATCGTATCGAAACGTGACCGACGCGTACACAATTAACAAGCAACGACAAATAAAAGACGTCAACATCCTAATGCATTGCCCACATCAGCTGAGCGCGAGAGAGTGAGTGTTAAAACGTGACTTGACGGTATTTTTTGTTTTTTACAATTCATGTACATATGCCTAAAATATTTGAAATATGTGATTCGTGACAACATTTTATCAGTCACGCAATGTAAGAAGCTTGCCGTTGTTTCGCCCGTGTTTTTTTTTTTTTTTTTTTTCAAATGTGTTGGACTATTTGGCGTTATGGACCAATCAGATACAAGGAAATGCACCAATCAGGTTTCTCGTAAGCGCTTTGCGCGCGCAGAGTACATGTTCATTCGCCGGCTTTTCTTCCCTCAGTAGTCTTCGGTATTCCTTGTGCTAGTGAATGTTTCTTGTGGATGTGCGCAGGTAAGTCTTCAGACAAACATGTGATTTTCTGACGGTTCAACACCGAAGCATGTGAACGAAAAGCGACGCTTGTGCTCGCGGAACACAATTCTCGCTACCGCTGTTCAGTGTGAAGGGCTGGGTTATTCTGATGCTCGCTGTAACGTCGACTTGGCATGCGGCGTGGCGAGGCATGCGGCGTTGGCGCGCAAAAGTGCTCTCCTGTGTTCGGCCCCGTGTATCTGGCAAGCGAGCCGCACTGCAGCGAGTGTTTTCAGGGAGCTTTGGTAACGAAAGCACGTTTTGGGATTTCGGAAGCGCGTTATGGCGTTACGGGACCGTGCAAGGCGATTCTAGGAGTGGCGCCTTGTAGCAACATTTCGGAACGGCATCCTCCTTTGTTCGCAACGCGACAAGCGTCAGTGGAGCGACTCTTCCGACTGCAAATTGAAACGCATGCTGCGTTGTGCGTCTCCTCGTGTAGCACGTTGCGCAACCTCGTCTCTGTTTTGGAATACGAAACGCAGGTGGTTTTGCGCCTATGGGAACGTGATTTTGCAGCCGTTATACGATGCTCAAGCCCTGGATGTAATAGTGTGGCGTGCGGCTCCTGCTCGAGTTTTCAGCACACATTCGAAGTTGTGGCGTCAGTGCAGGCGTATTACATATTTAAAATGAAGGGCAAGAAGGATGGGTGCGGGCGCATTTCGAACTTCTTCCATACAAGGCAAGAAAGGGACTGACTGTCATTTTTATAGAAGAAAGGAGTGCATTACAAGCGATGCACTCGGATCTCTGGACGAAGTCCAGTATAAGCAGACTCCTAGGATATAATTAGCAGCTCTTGTGACGTTGCCATGAACTTGTTCAGAACATGCTTACACGTGTTCTGTAGTCCTCTTCGTTAACTTTCTCGTCTTGTCTGTGCAGCAGTGGGTGTTATGTGTGAATGTGGCTACATGAACATGACACCTTCGAGAGGGTTGACCAAGCCCCGAACGCTGGCGCTTGTGGCGTTAGGCCATGCGTTTCTGAAATTAAACTTGCTGCAGTGACCGAGCCTTGAAAATTCTTCAATGTCATTAATTTCTAGAAATTATTAATTCACATTAGTGCATGATATGTGACTCTGCTGAGTGCTTTGGTTTTCTCAAAGCATAAAAATCGCGTCAATACACTGAAGAGTGCTTTCTAAGCATTGACAATTGTCAAGACTGACCTTGCCACCACCATACTACAATGCTGAAAACATGCACTCACTTCCACATAATAAAAAATAATTGTATAGAAAACTATGCAGAGAGTACCCGTAAAAAAACATGATCACAAGGGTACGAATGTGCAACTTTCGGATTTTCAACTGAACACGTAACCACTGCGCCATGCCAACTTGTAGGAGCTTTGCTGTTAAATTGCCAGAGAACTTACGAACTGACCGTTAAACTTCAGTTTTGTTCGTTGCTTACTCCAGATAGAGTAGATCTGCACCTGCTACTCAAACTGGCACATTTATTAAACACAAACAGCTGCTGCCTAGAACGATTTCCACTGCGACAATGGCAACAACGCTATGTTTTTCCTACAATTCACAACCACAAAAAAAGAAAACCAAGTGTACTGAAGAGCAGCTATAGTTTACCGGCGGTTAGTGTCAAGTTTATTATCCATTTCTTGCTCTTACTAAAGGGCGACATCTGCTCAGGCTTTACGACGCCTCTTGGCTCATTTGATAGAAGCCCACACAAGTGATTGAGTAATGCGATGTTTTTCGCGCAACATACAGCGCAATCGTGCCAACCCACTGCTGTAGCTCTACCGTTAGCAAGAACTACATAATGGCTTGGCCAAAATGAATGAAGTGTGCAGGAAACATTATGCTTTCATATTGGTTCAGTAAGCATACGAATGGACAAGTATGTGATCTTGCATAAAAGCCAGACAAGTGCCCGCGAGTGACTGGCTGCTGTCGGTGACGGGAGGCGTCATTTTGCAGGAAGTGCTGGCGCCGCGTCGCATCGATGTTTGTCGCTTCTTGCCCGGACACTGTACACATAAAAAATGCTTCATTTAGGTTAAATGATGCCACGGCTGTGCTATATTGTGGTTTTTACTCGTCGAAATTGTGTATTCTAAAATCCAGAAGCGTGACAACACTTGTACGTGTTTGGTCGGTAGACCTTTCGTAGAATCGTTGTGGTTGAACAAAAGGGTGAAAATTGAACTCGCTGGGACTCGTCTCGACGTATTTAGAAGGTAGAAGTCTATGCATTTTAGCGTGGCACGCATTTTGTTAACTTGAAAGTACGGCTAAAGTAATCGGATCTGCAAGAAATGCCGGAGTTGCGTTTCTAGCATGGCGGCATCAAGTGACCACTGTATTCTGGTCTACTGTTAAAAGAAGTCATTGTGAACTGGAGCTAATTTATTTCTCGACAACTGCATGGCGATATAACACATTTACTGTCACTGTTCACAGTGACACCTCTAGTCTTTTAAACATCACAACAAAGCCCCACATCATGCATGGCAAACTGATATATACGTGCACGAAATGCAAACATTCACGGCCACATTCTACACTCTACAAAAATTGAAGCGTCGACACCGCATGGAAAAAAAACTTGCTAGAATGCGTAATGAGTGGCGTTTGTTTCTTTCGACCGTAAACACATTTGTCTGCACATTCCAGAGTAAAACGCTAGGAATAATTAAGTGATTTCACATACTGCCATCTGATTTTTTAATATGCCACCATCATCCACCAAGCTTTCATGCCATTGTCATCCAGCTTGTTAACCAAGCCATCCACGAAACACGTTTTCAATCGCCACCATCAGCTGACATTTTCCACTGTCTCCACCATTGGCTTGCCACCCCCCCCCCCCACCATTTTTTCCGCTCAGCCGTCATCGGCATGCATTTTTCGCTGACACCACCAGCCAGCGTCCGAAGCTGCCGGGTAAACATAGCTGCGCCGCGTCACCATTGTCAATAAATGGTGCCGATCACTTCAGCGGACATGTGTGACATGTCTGGATGTAGTGAAAACCTTCTGAGCTCGGCACATAAATCTTACGATCGTCCTCGTCCGAACTGCTACCTTCAAAGCAAATCGCGAGGCTGTATGTGAGCTGCTGTAACGACAGCATTGACATCTCCTCAGCCTTCGTTAGCCACCTCGTTATTGACATGGCGCATTTATGGCTTCGTGGGTGTGAATTTGTCCCACACGCGCGCAAAAACGCTATTACCACACATGTAGAAAGTATTAGGTGCTCCGTGATTCCCCCTTCCGAATCGCACGCTCACGCTCCTCGCCTTGTTTACCTGCCAGCAGTAACGAGATTGGGTGGCTTGTGCCATGTGATTTGTCCTCTCGATCAGATCGCGCCACGCTCTCACTTCGAAATTGGAGCGGTTGGGCGCGCTTTGAGTCAGAGGCTGAACCAACGGAAGGTAGTCCGAGCGCTCAAAAATGCCCAACGGAATACGCCACCAGATTCATTTATTCCAACGTTTACAAAAAAATGTATGCATTGGCCACTCTGTCTTGTTAACCATGTTCTGAGGATCAGTGCCATACATAAGCAACTGCAGCCACATTACTTGGGCCCTTGTTACGAAAGCAAACGCCTCTTCATCAAGGGATGTTCATATACAGGAATCTGCTTTTCAAACCTCAAACGCTGTTCGCAGTTTTAAAAAATGCTTATTGCTTCCACTCCATTTACCCTAGTAATTTGTCGGCCTTTGGAGAAAAAACCACTTGGCCACAATACTTACATTTTTATTTATTCAAATAACCTCACAGGCCCTACATTGGAGTATTGTGTGAGGGGAGGGGTAACAATAACTGGAACATGTGAACTTTATACAATGCTCATTAACGTAGTACAGAACACTGAACAAAGAAAACAAACAGAAAATGTTCGTATACAATAGGTAAATAACACATCAATTAGAAAATATTACCGTTACCTCGGCCCTACATTTGCTTGAATTTTGAATGTTAATGATGTGCTCCCGAAGACCATTCCAATGAAAAATTGCTTGTGGCAAGGCGGACGAATTAAATGCGATGGTTCTACCTGAAATGCGTTCGTAGCTTAATGGGTTATTGAAATGATGTGAGGTGCGGAAGGGTTTTACAAGAGACCGTGATGACTGATGGGCACTATAGATGATCTTATGAAATAAGCGAAGCAATACAATCAGTCTGCGTGATTGCAAGGTAGCAAGAGAGAGTGATGAGTTAATGCTTGTTACGCTGGAGTGATGGTTTGTAGTTCCTGGAAAAGAAACGTGCAGCGTGATTTCCAATAGCTTCTTCCGATGGAGGCGGAAATGTTGTAGGCCCGTGTACTCAGATTTGGGTGCACGTTAAAGAACCCCAGGTGGTCAAAATTTCCGGAGCCCTCCACTACGGCGTCTCTCATAATCAAATAGTGGTTTTGGGACGTTAAACCCCACAAATCAATCAATTTCATATAGCTTCAAGGAAATTAAGTAAGCCTGATGGGCTATACATTCAACTGAACGTTGTTCAGTTGAAGTCTGCGGAGCAAGATGTCATAGTTTTCGACACCCGGCAACGAAACAACCAAGTACTTATCGTCACCTAGTGGTTCTGCACTGTGGAGCGAGAGGTCATAGGTTGGACACCCAGCAACGAAACTTTTTTGCATTGTGATGTGGACACGTAGGCAGGATAACAGCTGGTAAGTAAGGGTAACTGAATGGATTCCCAGGGTAGGCAAACACACGAAAGGGAGACGGAAAGTTAGGTGGGCCGGTGAGATTGAAAAGTTCGCAGGTATAACGTGGCAGCAGAAAGCACAAGACACCGGGTTGATTAGCGGATTATGGGAGAGGCCTTCGCCCTGCATTGGGCGTAGTCGGGCTGATGATATTTTACGTCATCCTTGATGAAAATATGACAGCATTGCTCTGGTGAACCAAAACACTTTATTCTCAAGAGAGTGCCAGGCCTTCACACGAAAGACCGAACTGTTTGGAGGAAC